TGGGTCGTCACAGGGGCTACCCTTATAGAACCCCTTATAGATCCCTTAGCGTATTCGACAGATTAGCCCGTAAGATCGTGAGAAGTGTGCGTACTTAGCCTTGCGCATCTCGCCGCGAGTGCGATGTGCTGCGAGGGACCTTGGCCAGGCGAGCTCAGTTCAAGCCTGTGGAAAAAGGTCACACTCTAACTGGTTCTGTCAGCCAACAGTCGCTGCCGAAAGGAGTAAATCGCCTTGTTTGAGCTTAAAGCAGTTCAGCGGATCAAACCGGGCCGACAGGCATCATGATGTCTCGTCATTTAGGCTTTCCGAGGCTGAGGCGGTTTCAACCTCTTCCCTCACCCAGCCCCTCTGACAGGAGCCCGAAGTGCCACATCCTACCAAAAGGGAGATGCGAGGGATGGCGGGCGTGTCCGCTTGCGCATCACCCCCCAGCACTTCAGCCCGTTGGGCACGACCTTCCGCGATGTCCAGGTAGACTTCAATTCCACCAGCTTCACCATCAGAGCCGTTGACTGTGCGGGCTACGCTTGGACAGCTTACTCTAACGAGCTGCCTGGCCGACTCGCGGAAGAGCGCTGCAAGTTCCGGATCAATCCGGATGGCACGGATGTGACGATCATCCTCTACAAGGCAGATAGTGACCCGTGGCGGGAGATGACGCGCCTCGAGTTGACACGGCCCTACAACCAGAAGGATGTGAAGTCAGCTGGTCCATCAAGTCCATCTTCCAGGAGTAGTGGCATGATAGTTGTATCCTAGTAGAAACTCAAAGATAGCCCGCAAGTGTTAAATTATAGTAACCCTTTTAACTTGTACGTTTAGAGTAGCCGTACTTCCGCCCAAAACTCTTGAAGGAGCTCCAGATCTATGCCGAGGTTTCAGCGCAACTTCATCTGAGGCCTCAAAAATTGACATTCAAACGCTGTCAGTAGGTACACGTAGGTACTAGTACTAGCATGCTTCTTATGATGCTCAGTTCTGCTGTTGCTGAGCATGCTGTGATCCGCAGCTCGCAGCATTGATGGCAAGAAGCCGCAGCAGCTCCGATTGTCCGCTAATACTGAACGACTCATGGCATGTCATTTTGTTTTGGCGCAACGCCCACTTCCTCCATACTGTCCTTTGCTTGTTGTCGGAGATTCGGAGTGTCGGACCATGCGAAGGATGATAACAATTTCAAAGAAGCCTCGAGAATGGAACCTCGCAAACTTGACTGAACTGATTAAAGTCAGGTGCTCTAGGCGCATTGTGAGGTATGTCAATATCTTCGAGCTTGAATGGCGAGCCAGTTTGGTGGCAGCTGTGCGGGCATGTATTCTGATTTGTGTCACTGAAGCCCTGCGGGGCGATGTCTGGTGAAAGAAGCATGTTGTGCTATGCCCGAAGCTCAAGGACCCACGGGACCGGAGAAATCGGAATGCTACCCAGGGCACAGCGGTGTGCTGCCCTCGCCTATTCAAGACTGGTTCCATCCTCGTAGTAGTGTTTTGCATCGCGAAGCCCTAAACCCTAAACCCTAAACCCTAAACCCGGCGGTGGGAGGAACTTCACTCTTGGCGTGCGCCGACCTGGCCGGACTTGCAGTGGTTCTTCATGATAGCCTAGTGGCCCTAGCATCACCGCAACTCACTCACATGCTCGCTAACACTCTCTCTCTCTCTCAATAGGTATAGCTTCTGCGCATGTAGGTGTTATGTAGGTATGAAGGTAGGTATGTGTGTGTGTGTATATATATATATATAAACACGAAAGGGCGTATACGTACAGGAATGTAGAGTTCTATTCCTGCAATATTGAACTCGTTATCTCATATGTCAGGTTTCAGTATACAATACAATGTAACCAAGAAGATAACACCAGCTGCTATGATTAATCTAGTATATTGTAATACTCTAGATCCCAACATTTTATGATATACTTCATTGCAATAAACAGAACAGAACACAGCATATCCTAACTTAACATACTATGCTATCATATAAGATGTTACCAGTTTGTAGAACATAGTTAACATGAAACATAACATCAAACGCAGTCAAGTTTCAATTTATAGAAACCTCTGGACATATCTATATATATATATACCTATATGTATAGATATTCGTGTATCCTTCCCATCAATCAAGCATGTTTACAGTTATGTATGCAAGCGGCAGGTAGTTGAGTTGCTCGAATGCCACGGCACACCAGTGCCCTAGGGCAAAGAGCAACGTCCACAGCAGGCTTCGGTGGGTTTTGCGTTGAACATCCTGGCCCTGCTGTGACAGGCCAGCCTCCTTTGATCCTACCGGCGACCGGTATATTGAACAGCAGGGATTTAGAAGGACATGCCGGGACTCTGCTCACCCACGACGCATTTGTTTTTGGTGGGCTTGTGATTTTGTGATGTTCTAGCTCTTTCATGTTTATTTCGGAGGCATGTCCCCAGTCCCCTGTCAATACCCAAAACTGTTTGTTTGCCTCTGTGGCGATCAGCGGGGTACTTCGCCTTTGACCATCCGCTCGACATAGAAGGCTAAAGTCAAAAGCTGCAGCCTGCAGCTGTCTGGATGCCTAGACCGTGGATGCCGTTCCCGAGCAAGAGAGTCGACCGCACAGTCCTGAAACAGCACAAGCTCTCGAGATGTGACTGTGAGGTTCTATGCTTCGTGCTTCAATTGGAGCAGGGACCGGGGTGGAAGCTGCAGGGCATTTGCATTTGATCGCGTCCTAGCAATAATACCGCATAGCTATTATGCATGGTATATAATTCAAAAGTCGTCGTCATCATCATCATCATCATCATCATCATCACCCCCATCTTAGCGGTAGATGTAGCAGTAGTGGTGGCGGTAGTAGTAGCAGTAGTAGTCGTGCAGGATTAGTAGTCGTAGTAGCAGTAGTGGTAGTAGTAGCAGCAGAAGTAGCAGTTGCAGTTGCAGTTTCAGTAGCAGCAGCTGCAGCAGTGGTAGTAGTAGCAGTAGCAGCAGTCGTGGCAGAAGCAGTAGTAGCAGCAGTAGTCGTCGTCCTAGTGCTGGTCGTAGTGGTGGCGGTGGTAGTGTTGGGTAGTGTTAGGTGGCATCGATTGCAGTCGTGGTGATGGTGGTGGTGGTGGTGGAGGTGGTGGTGGTAGTGCTGCTGCTGCTGCTGATCGTCGTCGTCGTCGTAGTAGTAGTAGTAGTAGTAGCAGTAGATTGGTGCTGTGGCATTCTCGAAGAACGTAGATGGATGCCAACAAGAAGAAATGCACCGCTGCATCGAACCTTACTGGCCAGCCTGGTATCAAGTACTTGGCATTCGTCTGCTTTGGTGATTCTTCCACTCGTTCGAGTATCTCTAAAACGGAGTGAAAATATCAGTCGTTCGTTTCACGAGAAGACCCAAGCGCCACCCAACCACCAGCGAAGACGCTGGACCCTAAACCGCATGCGCGGGTTTTCGACTGGGCACGGCTTCAGAGTTTTCGTCTTCTTACATTCCTCGGGCTTGGGAAGGGAAAGGTGCGTAATAAGGCCGTAAGCAATCTTTTGCAGATGATTCCCTTTCGCAGGAAGCCGTTTCCGTTCGTGAGGGGCTGCCGGGCAGCCACCCATCTGGAGCGAAGCCGTCGCTGGTGCTTCTGCGGGCCGGGGCCGCGTTGCTTTCTGTTGAACTACATTGAACTACGGTAACTACCGGGTCTCGGTGTGGGGGATTCTAAGAAGTAGTCCATTTTTTGGGGGTCTTCAGATTTAAGCCGTTTTTGTTAGAGTCCTCCACTTTCAGAAGCTCCCACGTCGAGGTGTCTGTGCAAGTCTGTGCATGTGCTCCTTCATCGGAATAATCTTACAACTTACCGATGCCAGACAGACAGGCAGACAAAAGACACATACATTACGTATTAGTATGTGTAGAATGTATTATATATATATATGTATGTATGTGTGTGTGTGTATGTGATCTGTGCCGTTCGTACGTGTACATACGTGTGGGTATGTCTGTGCATGTGTATATATGTACATATGAATGTATGTGTATGTGTATGTATGTATGTATGTATGCATGCGTGTATGTATGTATGTAGGTACGTACGTACGTAGGTAGGTAGGTAGGTAGGTATGTATGTATGTATGTATGTATGTATTATGTCTGTACGTATGTGTAGAATATGTATATATATATATATATGTATGGTCAGTAACATGTGGGTAGAAATAACGGTGCATCTAATGCACACATGCATACACACCTGTATTCACCTGCTATGATCCTTTTCATACTTGTGTTTTTAGATTCCCATGCCACAGGCATCTATGTCTCTATGTGTATGCAAGGTACGTGCGTATGTACATTCAGTTTTGCGAGCCATATTTCGCGAATGTTCGTGGCCAGATCAGCCCACGAACAGTTTGAGCTGGTCATTCGCAGCTTGAGTCCTGTCAGTCAGCAGTTATTGGTTGTCCTGGAAAAACCTGGTAGGAAAACTGAGTTTTTCTAGAAAAACTGGTCGAGGGTCTGAGGTTCAAGGTGTTAAATGGACTGGGGGCTGAAAGCTTGAAACGCATGCGGCACCTGAACCTCAGTAAGTCATAACGCCAAACTGGACTGAACGCAAACTTAATTCAAATGTGAGAGTGCAAGCCCAAATTCCCAAATCCTGAAAAAACTCTACCCCCCCCCGCCGCCCCCGCCGCCCCCGCCCCTCCACCTCGTCAACAAGAAGACCAGCAAACCAAAAGCACAACCCTACACTTCTTAACCCTTACAAACCCCTACACAGTTTGCAGGTGGAAGATCCGGTTGAACCAGGAGTGGATTTAGCAGGGCTGGTGCCTCAGTGATCGCCGGTTTCTCTGTTTGTTGAGGGGATTTCGGGATTTGTGGTTCAGGGGCTTTGACTTGTAACGATGCTTTCAGGCTTGGAGTGTACACTCTGTTTCGGTTTCGGGCAGAAGGGTTCAGGGCAAGATTGAGCCTGCAAGGGTTCCCGTTTCGGTGCCTGATGGTGCCTGTCTGGCTGGTAGCACCAGCATGTTTCTGAATTTGGTAGATCGCCGCAACACTAAAGCCCTAAACCGTGGGACTTGCGGCATGTCTTTCCGAGTTGGTAGTATCCCTGCAGCGCGACCTATTGAGCGAAGGGGTGGGCGTTGAAAAGAAGCAGCCCTTGCTTGATCTCGGCTTTCTGCTGCCCCGGCCTTGACAGAATTCGCACATATTGCCAAAGGCATGTGGCATGTGGAAAATCCAACCTGAGACTATCTTCACAGTTAGACAGTTATACATGTACACGTCTGCATACATAATGCGATGTTGGCTATGATAGTGTGAAGAAAACCGTCACGCATAAGCCATGAGCTAACATGAAGCGTCCGAGAACGCCAAACCCTAGACCCAAGCTGAAGCTAAACCCGAACCCCTATAGTTAAAGGAACCCTAAACCCGAAACCCAAACTTCCTTTCGCCATGGGTCTCCTTCGCTCAGAGCGAATGCAGCATGGAACCCTTGTGCTGCCGGCAGCCAGAGCTCGGGATTTGATAGACCTGCTGCTCACTTCATGTCTTGAGTTCGCGGTTTTGGGGTTTCGGGCTTCAGGGTTCAAGTTTGGTCGGCGTTTCGGGGTTTAGGGCTCCACGGTTGAAGGGTTTTCGGCCTTTCGGGGTCTTGAGGCTTCAGGGTTTTGGGTTTAGGACTCTGCTGTACTTGGTTTCCCCCTTGGCTCGAAGGATCGGGGCGCGCTGCAAGATCCAGATTGAGGACGTCACTTGTGATGGATGCTTTGTTTCGTTTGCTGTGGCTGTGTTGGGGTACTGAAACCTGGCAAGCTTGCAAGGACATGAACCTGAAGAGCTTGCACAGGCCATACAAAGGCCACATCCAAAGGATTGACGAGATGGCGCCTCAGCTGTTTTGGAAGATTGCCCAGTTGTCGAGTAAGCGAAGCAGCATGCCTGTACTTCATTCCGGCAATGTACATACCACAACATACGCATATCACCACCATGTTTATAAGGCACATCTAGGCGCAGCATGGTACACTTGACTGGATGGGAAGCGCGGCCAATTCGTCAACGATTGCGCCTGGAGCACCTTGCCAATTCACCGGTAGTCATCCGAGGAACGCAAATTGCGCTTCGTCGAAGACGAGCTGCGACGAATTCCAGGCTTGTACATAGTGACATAGTGTAACCCCTGGTGATCAACAACTGTTTCTCTGCATTGAAGGTTCTGCTACATTCTGATAACTTTAAAGTATCAGAGGCGAGCATTAGGGCTCAACCCAAAGCCAGAACCCAGGTAAGGACATGTCGTTGAGCGCACGCATAGGCTCTTCGGGTACTGATTCCAACGGAGTGTTTGGTGTTTCATCTGAGCAGAATTCCCAGCGTATTGAAAAGAGGTGTATCGGGGAAGATGAGCGAACAAGATGTATTCTCATGCTGCCGGTGGTTGAATGTAGGACCTTTAAACCCAAGACCTTTCTGTGCCGAAAGCGAAAGCCAAAGTACCTGCAGCACAACATTACTGACCTTGTCCAGCTGGGCAGGTGTACACTTCAGCAAGTTCGGAATCGATTCATTCCTGGAGCACTCCCATGAGTACAAGCTGGAACACGTCGAGGTGAACATTGCTCAGGTGTACAACTCTTTCGCCGACTTGAAAGCCAGCAGCGCCTTGCATCGCAAACAGCTTTTCATTCCACAAGTATCTATATACCTAGCGTAACGAATGGCTGGATAACTGAAACAGATGGTTACGTATGCATATACATATGGACATGCCTGGAGTTGTGCCCATGCACATTGAGAATGCATGTCGCGACTTGTTCCTTTACCTGCCAATCTTGCGGACAACTATGCAAGGAGCGAGGGTTGTAGCTCCACCTGACCCAACGCAAAAGAACCTCGGGCAGGAACAGCTTCGAGCCTGTCATGTTGATTCTCCCCCCTCCCGCCACCCTTGGACCGACAGGAAGGCCTTCAAACCTCGACCATCCTCGACCCTAGAATCCCTAGCAGGCCCTGCGATCCCACGATCTGTCACAATCAAGCGGGCTGCACCGACGGCAAGATGTTTTTTGCTTCACCTTGAACTCACGCGAACGCTTGCGCCCAAGTGAGAAGCAGCCCGGGAGGTGCAGAGCTCGTTCGGCGGCGAAACGGGGCTTTGGAAGAAAGCCATGTGATGAAGGTGGCTGCTTGGCTGAACTGGGGCCTCTTGTGCGAACAGGCCCTGGCAGGAACCTTGCATCACAGTAGCGTCGGATGCGCAGGAGATGCCTGAGCTACAGAGGCTTCCGGAGCTTCCGAGTTTTTTGTTTTGAAATTGATCCGGGTGTAGGATGAGTTGAAAGCCAGTTTTGCGCTGCCTTTGCGTGCGATTGCAGCAAGGCTGCCGCTCAGATAGGACCGGCCATTGTAGAGGAAGGTCGGACATCTCCGGGCGAGGACCTTCTGAAGCTGTATACATAATACATGTTAAACCTTACGGAGTTCACGGCTTGGGGTTCCGATGGGCATAATGACTAGTCCTATTCCCTAGGGCCCCTTGTTCTATTCACGCTGTACTATTCACCCCAAAACACTTCCCTGCAGTACCTCTTAACAACCAGAAATCCCGAAAGCCACAGCTGAAAGCAATTCGGTGCAGGATCCCTTCATCGTTGGGGCATCCCGTCGCCTTCGCGATGACTCCCCCAGCTCCTCGGCAGGTTTGGGTGCAGTTCTTTGAATGATCGGGTCGTCATCGCTTCTGCGATGCTCTCGTTGAATGTATGACGTCTGTTGCATGGGGTTGGTTGTCTCTGGTTCTGCGTCATGTAGTTATTCACCGTTTGTCTTGAAGTCTTTGGCCATGGTTGCCATGCAGAAGCTCTTCTTGGTTGCCTAAGTCGCATGCTATTGCTTTAGGCTGTGAGCTTCTGGTACTGTGAATAATAACTGGAGCTGCCCAGCTGTCATTCTCAGTGGCAAGGTGCCATAGGTGCTGTTGGGTCTGGTGAATAAAATGATAATTAGAATAAGACGACGGCTGCAACTGCTACTGCTACTTTCGCTACTACTTCTGCTACTGCTACTGCTACTGCTACTGCTACTGCTACTGCTACTGCTACTGCTGCTGCTGCTGCTGCTACTACTACTATTACTACTACTAGTACTAATACTACTACTACTACTACTACTACTACTACTACTACTACTACTTTTTGTGCTGTCGTCGACGTGCCAAGTGG